TGGAAGCCGAGTGTATGTATTCTAACAAATACCCAGAGCGCAGACAACCTGACAAGAGTATTTTTCGGCGTTTGTTATTTAATCTGAAAGAATATGGATCATTTAAGAAGCCTGCATTATCCCGACAAAAAACCTTCCAGTGAAGAAAACCAATACATTGTTCTACAATTCTGTTATCGAAAATCCACAAACTTCTACCAGAGAAATTGAAGACCAGAATGGGGTAGCTAAATCTACAGCTCAGTTTATTTTAAGGAAAAATGAATTTAAGCCTTACAAATTCAGAATATGTCAAGGATTAAAACCGGGTGACGACGAACGACGTAGACATTTTTGTGAGTGGTATACCAGGATGTGTGATGAGAGTTTTAATTTTCCATATAAAGTGATTTGGTCTGATGAAAGTATGGTGACCAATAACGGTATTAATAACAGGCGCAATACACACTATTGGTCGCAACAAAATCCACGTGTTAATAGACTATCCAGACATCAAGTTCGCTTTGGGTTTAATATTTAGCGTGGGATTTTTGGTAGCAAGATTATAGGCCCTATTTTCTATAATAATTCCTTAACTTCCGAGCGGTACCTTGACATCTTGAGGCACGATTTAGAAGATGCCTTAGATGATTTACCGCTAGGCGCTGTGCAAGGCTGCTGGTTCGAACAAGATGGTGCCCCAGCCCATAACTCCAGAGAAGTTCGCCAATATTTAACTGAACGGTTTGATGGAACATACATTGGGACTTACAGTGAAACACCTTGGCCTCCAAGGTCCCCGGACTTAACTCCCTTGGACTTTTCTTATGGGGCTACATAAAAAATGAGCTATTCAAAGAATGTTTTGACAACGAGGAACAATTACGTCAATCAGTACGAGCAGCGTTTAATAAAATTACTCCTGAAATGTTAAGTCGTGTTTTGGAGTCTACCGTGAGACGGGCGTACTTATGCCTAGAAAATGGAGGTCATTTATTCGAACATTTGTTATAGAATTTGTTTTTCCATTTTCTTTTGCCTTTCATCGTTCGGATCTCATGGCCTACTACAATAAAATACTAGAAATGTATTAAAAATCCATTTTTCTGGATAAAAACATAAGTAACCGTATTGTATCGTACATCGTTGAATTCGCAATGAAAAGCACAACCTAATACTGTGTGTACTTTTTTTCCGTCCCATAAGAAAAATCAAAGTTGATGGTGGTTCCATGGAATCGAAACGCTGTAATGAAAATTTGTTAACGTCAATTTGGAGAGATTAAAAAGTGCCAATGGAAAAGTGTTTTCCGTTTTTTCATATCTTTTCAAATAGCTTTAAAAAATAATAAAAACGAAATCGCAATATTTCGGTTTTTCTCGGATATTTCCGGAACGGCTTGGAATTTTCAAATTTGTAAAACGGGATCTTGTTCGGTATCAAAATGCGCAACTTTTGTCTAATTTAACCGACACTGTATCTCTTATAGTTTCCGAGATCCCCATGCTGTGCATGCTTATCTTGGACACACTGTATATATATATATATATATATATATATATATATATATATATATATATATATATATATATATATATATATATATATATACTATACTCCGGGATATCATCCGTTCGCTCGTTGAACTCCGACTGGAATCCTGCAAATCCTGCATCCGACTGGAATCCTGCAGACGTTTCGCCAAAATCTCACTTGGCATCTTCAATGCTCGCGCTCCGAAAACACTTCGAACACTGGGAGGTTATCGGCGGTGCGTGCGGTATTTATACTCTACGCCGGAGATGGTAACGGTGCTGCTTGTGCGTGGGGGGAGGTGGCTCCGCCCCCTGAATTGTCGCGTTGTTAATTTCGCCCGATCGTAGTTGCGATGTCCCCGTTGGCTGCTGCGCATCGCTCTGCTGTTTGATTATCGTTCTCCACGTGTTGGATAAATGCAGAGCGTCGTCTCTCGTATTGAGGTGTCCGGACTTTTCTATTTCGATGGCCTCTCGTATAATCCTAGTCCTAAAATCAGGAATATTAGCTATTTGTTTGCAAGTGCCGAAATCAATTTTATGGCCTGTCTGATGTTGGTGCTGAAACAAAGCAGATGTTGTTTGTTTGTTTCTTATGGCTAAACGATGTTCCTCGAGCCTGGCTGAAATCCTTCTGTTGGTCTGTCCCACATACGTCAGGCTGCACGATCCGCATGCTACACTGTATACTTGGTTTTCCAGAGTAATTTTTTGTTTTGGGTTTCTTAGTATTGCTCCGATGGTATGGTCAGGTTTGTATGCCGTTGATATGTCGTGTTTCCGTAATATTCGGCCGATTTTGTCAGTAACCCCCTTGATGTATGGCAGGACAGCGATCGATCTTCGTTGGGTCTCGTCCTGCACTCTCTGCTGCGGCTGTTGTTGTTTACTGATTGCCTTGCTGATGGTACGCCTTTGGTATCCGTTTTGTCGAAGACAGGTACTAATTTTCTTCAGTTCTTTATCTCTGTTCCTCTCGTTTGTGAGCCTGAAGGACCGAGCAATTAATGTATTTGCCACTGCCTGTATCTGTGATGGGTGGTGATGAGATTTAGCGTTCAGATATCTATTAGTGTGTGTTGGTTTCCTATAGACAGTGTGTTCCAAGTGTCCATCTTCGGTCCTTGTGATGTGCACATCTAAAAAGGGCAGACTGTTATCCTCTTCAAGTTCTATTGTAAATTGAATCCTTGGGTGGATGGAATTCAGATGATCTAGGAATTTCAAAAGCTCCTCCTTGCCAAAAGGCCATACAACAAATACGTCATCCACGTATCTTGTCCATAGTTTTGGCTTCAGATTTGCCTTCTCTATTGCTTTCTTTTCGAAGTAAATCATGAAGAGGTTGGCAATCACAGGTGAGAGAGATGATCCCATTGCTGCTCCATCTATTTGTCGGTAAATTTTCCCGTTGTGCATAAAGTAAGCGTTTTTCAGGCAATGTCTTGACAGATCCATTATGTATGGCGGAAGATCTTCGTTTTCTTCTATAAGCAAGAGTGCCTCTTCTACTGGAATACTCGGGTAGAGGGATTTGACATCGAAACTTGCCATAATGTCGTCCTTGTCCATCCTGAGAGAACCTAAAATCTGAGTGAAATGTTCTGAGTTTTTAACATAGGAATCTGCCTTTTCCACTATAGGCTGAAGTGCACTGGCCAGATGTTTTTCCAGCTTGCATAATGGTGAGTTAAAGGCGCTTACGATTGGACGCAGGGGAATCCCGTCCTTATGGATCTTTGGGAGCCCGTAGAATTTTGGGCAACGACTCGATTTTTCCCTCGGAATAAGCTTCTTCTTTGTATCCTCGTTTATTGATGAATCGAGAATTTTGGACTTAGTTGTTTTTTCCAAATATGTCGTGGGATCTCTGGTGACTAGTTTGTATATTGGGTCGTTCAAAATATCCTCCAATTTTGCATTATAATCCGACGTATTCATGACGACAGTGGCATTTCCTTTGTCTGCTGGCATTATTAGAATGTTTTCGTTTTTGTTTAGATTCCTTAAGGCTTGCATTTCTTCTCTGCTTAAGTTTGGCTGCGGTGGTTTTGACTGTCTTAAGACTCTGGCGACATCTTGCCTAATTAACTCCGCATCTTGTTCGTCTATGGTGGAAAGACTTGCTTCGACGTTGGAAACGATCTCTTCGACGGGTACTCTTTTTGGAGTTATTGCATAGTTAAATCCTTTATTCAGTACGCTGACTTCTGTATCGGAAAGATGGTATGCTGAAATATTATGAACTGTATTGCTTCGGTTTGTATTTGGCACTTGTCCTGATTTTTTGGAATTTGACTGAAGGATTTCTAATTTCTTCCACAGTTTTTTTGACGTGATGTCCTTGTCTTTCTCAGTGCGCCATGATGTTAATAATTCTATGCGGTCCCACAGCAACTGATGGATCTTGTTGCTCAGTTTCAGGTGGAGTCTGAAAAGTTGTAGCTCAGTCTCACTAATTTCGTACCGGGTCCGCCTGATCTGGTCTTGGAGTAGGGCCTTGCTAGCTTTGTCCAGGATAGCTTGTGTCTTTCTGGTGCGTGTATGATAAGACAACCTTGTAAATGTTGGCAGCAAGTTCTGGTTGCGGCAGTTTTTAAGAAAATTCAAGTTGCACAGCGAAATAACCCTCCTTTGTCTTAGTTTTTCATAACACTTGGTGGCTGTAAAGGTCTCCTTCCCGTAAAGGTGTATGATATTCTCACGTATTGATTCACGGATGGAAAAATGTGATGACACTATACTCCGGGATATCATCCGTTCGCTCGTTGAACTCCGACTGGAATCCTGCAAATCCTGCATCCGACTGGAATCCTGCAGACGTTTCGCCAAAATCTCACTTGGCATCTTCAATGCTCGCGCTCCGAAAACACTTCGAACACTGGGAGGTTATCGGCGGTGCGTGCGGTATTTATACTCTACGCCGGAGATGGTAACGGTGCTGCTTGTGCGTGGGGGGAGGTGGCTCCGCCCCCTGAATTGTCGCGTTGTTAATTTCGCCCGATTATAATGCAAAATTGGAGGATATTTTGAACGACCCAATATACAAACTAGTCACCAGAGATCCCACGACATATTTGGAAAAAACAACTAAGTCCAAAATTCTCGATTCATCAATAAACGAGGATACAAAGAAGAAACTTATTCCGAGGGAAAAATCGAGTCGTTGCCCAAAATTCTACGGGCTCCCAAAGATCCATAAGGACGGGGTTCCCCTGCGTCCAATCGTAAGCGCCTTTAACTCACCATTATGCAAGCTGGAAAAACATCTGGCCAGTGCACTTCAGCCTATAGTGGAAAAGGCAGATTCCTATGTTAAAAACTCAGAACATTTCACTCAGATTTTAGGTTCTCTCAGGATGGACAAGGACGACATTATGGCAAGTTTCGATGTCAAATCCCTCTACCCAAGTATTCCAGTAGAAGAGGCACTCTTGCTTATAGAAGAAAACGAAGATCTTCCGCCATACATAGTGGATCTGTCAAGACATTGCCTGAAAAACGCTTACTTTATGCACAACGGGAAAATTTACCGACAAATAGATGGAGCAGCAATGGGATCATCTCTCTCACCTGTGATTGCCAACCTCTTCATGATTTACTTCGAAAAGAAAGCAATAGAGAAGGCAAATCTGAAGCCAAAACTATGGACAAGATACGTTGATGACGTATTTGTTGTATGGCCTTTTGGCAAGGAGGAGCTTTTGAAATTCCTAGATCATCTGAATTCCATTCACCCAAGGATTCAATTTACAATAGAACTTGAAGAGGATAACAGTCTGCCCTTTTTAGATGTGCACATCACAAGGACCGAAGATGGACACTTGGAACACACTGTCTATAGGAAACCAACACACACTAATAGATATCTGAACGCTAAATCTCATCACCACCCATCACAGATACAGGCAGTGGCAAATACATTAATTGCTCGGTCCTTCAGGCTCACAAACGAGAGGAACAGAGATAAAGAACTGAAGAAAATTAGTACCTGTCTTCGACAAAACGGATACCAAAGGCGTACCATCAGCAAGGCAATCAGTAAACAACAACAGCCGCAGCAGAGAGTGCAGGACGAGACCCAACGAAGATCGATCGCTGTCCTGCCATACATCAAGGGGGTTACTGACAAAATCGGCCGAATATTACGGAAACACGACATATCAACGGCATACAAACCTGACCATACCATCGGAGCAATACTAAGAAACCCAAAACAAAAAATTACTCTGGAAAACCAAGGAGTATACAGTGTAGCATGCGGATCGTGCAGCCTGACGTATGTGGGACAGACCAACAGAAGGATTTCAGCCAGGCTCGAGGAACATCGTTTAGCCATAAGAAACAAACAAACAACATCTGCTTTGTTTCAGCACCAACATCAGACAGGCCATAAAATTGATTTCGGCACTTGCAAACAAATAGCTAATATTCCTGATTTTAGGACTAGGATTATACGAGAGGCCATCGAAATAGAAAAGTCCGGACACCTCAATACGAGAGACGACGCTCTGCATTTATCCAACACGTGGAGAACGATAATCAAACAGCAGAGCGATGCGCAGCAGCCAACGGGGACATCGCAACTACGATCGGGCGAAATTAACAACGCGACAATTCAGGGGGCGGAGCCACCTCCCCCCACGCACAAGCAGCACCGTTACCATCTCCGGCGTAGAGTATAAATACCGCACGCACCGCCGATAACCTCCCAGTGTTCGAAGTGTTTTCGGAGCGCGAGCATTGAAGATGCCAAGTGAGATTTTGGCGAAACGTCTGCAGGATTCCAGTCGGATGCAGGATTTGCAGGATTCCAGTCGGAGTTCAACGAGCGAACGGATGATATCCCGGAGTATAGTGTCATCACATTTTTCCATCCGTGAATCAATACGTGAGAATATATATATGTATATATATATATATATATATATATATATATATATATATATATATATATATATATATATATATATATATATATATATATATATATATATATATATATATATATATATATATATATATATATATATATATATATATATATATATATATATATATATATATATTATTTTTTGTTAAATGGTTTTTACTCTTAAGGCAAACTCATGGGATTCAGAAATAAATGCCAATAATTCTAGAATTTATTTTATCAAACGTGCAGTTGTTGAAAAGGGCTCTTCTGAGGCTATTGAGCACATTGATTTAGATAGGTTGTGTCGCCGCCAAAGAGTGTTTTGGAATATCATAAGTAAACTTTATTTTTTCAACAAAATGAATTCCAAAGACGCCACTTTTATTGCAACAAAAGATAGCCAAATAAGCGTCTAGGTAACACTAGTGAAAAGTGTCAATCATATTAAAATAAGACCATTTATGTGTTTTGGTGGTCTTATTATTATTATTATCTAGGTGATGGAGTATCCTCCATTAAAACTCACAAGTCTTGGTGTTTTAATCAATGTTATTGTTTTTCTTTATTGTAATGTATTGCTTTGTAATATTCAATCATAATTGGAATCGGTATTGTTATTGATATTTTAACTATAACGTTGGCGTCTTGGCAATAAATTTGTATATATTTTGCTAAAAAAAGGAGGAAAATATTTGCAAAGATGACATTATTTTATTTTTATTAGTTTTGCTATTATAGGTTAAGACCGTTTAAACACGTATCTGCATATCGGAATTTAAGGTTATTTTGGATAAATTTCGCAGAAATTTTCTATAGAAGACATTGGGCGCATTCAGCGGACCTAGCAAAGCGCCCCCAATATGTAGCGGTAGTGACTGGCTACGTTATTTGAAGATTTAGATTTTTTTCAAAAGTACATCTTATTCAGTGTTTATGTGTAGTGCTGCTGATTTAACATGTGTTAATAAAGTGGAAACGCTTTTGTACTCTAGTACCTACCACATCAGAAATTAGTAGAAACGGACTTTATTTCAAAGCCAAAATTGGGAATTATCAGAACCAATTCGAATATTTGAGGATAATTAAGGTGACAGGTGTCAAATACAAAAAAATCAGAATCATCACGAGGACTGTAAGGAGTTATAAACTTATTCTTAGAATATTTTCAATTCCTACATTTGTAAACTTATTAAAAGAGGTCTATCTTAGACCATATCTAGTATGTTTCGGGGCAGGGAGACATTTGATATGTTTAGAAGAGGAGCTACCACACCTGGAAGTAGATATTGCAGATGAGGGTGGAAATGAGGAGAGGAACCAAATATGCTCTTACAACAAAGAAAATTATGTTTTTTAATTGTTGCTACTTTTTTTTGTAATTTACATAAGTGCAAAATTTAATTTCTTTCCTCCTGGATTTTCTTGCTTCTTTCAATGGCGTTTCGTAAGATGTTAATTTCGTGTACTTTCTCGATATTTGTCAGCCTTTGTTGTAGATAAAACATTCCACTCTTTGACTCCCTAGTCTTGGTACTTCTAAAATGAAAACATGTTATAAGCCTTTAATTTTTTTAATTATACCAATAAAAAAATTGTTGAAACTTAACCTACATACAAGTGATGCTCTGATTGGAGCTGTTTCCATCTGCGAAGTCACTGGGATAGCGAGTGGGTCCTTCTTATTTTCGGCAAGGAGCTTTTTTGATTATGACAGGAACCGCTGTAGAGGTATTGGGTTAGGAAGGTTAACTGTTTTGTTCTCCCTATGTATTTCATCAATCTGCTGATAATATTTCTAGTAAATTCTACCCCTTCCAGTTTTCCCTATATTTTTTTTTGATGTATGTGAAGATTTTTTTCAGGTTTCTCCATTTCCTGTCCAATATTTCCTCGGTTTAGTGAAAATACATTCTGTGAGAGTGTTTAAAAAAAATTACAGTTTGTTTGAAAAACAGACATACCTTGATAGGATCTTCGAAAACTCGCGGGGTTTTCGAGAAAACTTTCCCGGTTGGGACCCTTGAAAAAAAATTTTTTTGTAAGTACGAATAATGACATAAATAATAACAAATAACATAAATTTATTATGTTGGAATTTTGTACCCACCATCACTGTCAAATATACTCTAACCAAATTCCTCTTTCAAGACCAACTTCTACCGTCGCTTCGGTACCGCAACCTAGCACAAAATAAACTCGCCCCACCCCACAACATGTTGGATTTGTAGCGCATGTGCCACCGGATGTTTCCGCTACGGCTTTGTAAATTCAAATGTCCAACACGCTCCCAATCACAATCGCTACCGCTACGTATCAGCGCTTTGCTACGTCCGCTGAATGCGACCATTGTTGACAGTTATATTAGTAGTCAGTTATTTTCAATCATTTGTCACAGCTGACGTTCGCAATTTTTTCTTCATAAAATAGGGTACGTTTATAAGGTATTTTTGTGGTTTGATGTATACTTATATTATTTATTATTTGCAATAATCCCTTCTAGACAAAAAGTGTTACTACTTGGAGACGCGGCGCTTAGCTGCTATTTAATGGGTTTTTTGCGTAGACAAAAACTAAGATCTCAGTTTTGAAAAAATTGGCTTCAACTAAGAAAAGGTGCAGGTAGCTTGGCTCTTTTAAATAACGAATTAGCAACTGAAGATCCTGAAGCAAATAAAAAATTTCTGAGAACTTAGCCTAAATATCCTGTACAGTGACGCCAGGTTTTATTGGGCGAGGTTTAGAACATATGGATTCTAATGTCCACTTCTCTTTAGCTCCATGGCATTGCTGCTTTACGTTTTGAAGGACAATCAGAAAAACGAAAGTTATGACAAAAAAACTTGAAAATACGCACGAATAAACAAGCACGATAAGAGTAATGGTCCAAGCACATACGCCAATATTGTTATGATAATATAGAACATGTTCTATATTTATATTTTTACAATAATTCTGTGTCGTGTAAAATGGCAAAAAATATTAAGAAAAACGTAAGAGAAATTTCACAATATTTTTCTGGTATAAATTTTATTTGTAGTGATGTCGCACAACGTTGACTAGCGGCGACACAAGCAATCGAAGTCAATCTTTTTAGGGCAGCGTTGATGACCGAAGAAAAACCCTTTTCACCGTTATAAACTATAAGTCATGAATGACCCTGTTACTTATCCTTGCGGTACGCTAGTTACTACTGGCTTGACTATTAAACTAATGTTTCTCTGATGTCTGTGCTATATTATGTAACAATATCCAGTAAATGTCTACAAAAATCAGGTTATTCTGGATAAAATACATCAGAATTTGGAATCGAGTATTATCTTATTTGACAACGACCTCAAAAACAAAGAAGACACGCTGGAAAACATCGGAGCGCAGAAAAAAGTATCCAAGAGTTCGCAGAATAAAATTCCCGAAAACAAACCTATTCAACTAACCATTTTCGAGCAATGCGTAAGTTACGATCGCTTCCTCGGCACCGTAGTCTCTACCCGTTAGGTTTCAAGGTGACCGATAGGGAAGAGGGCGTGGTAGAAGTGATCCACACCGGTGGTCACATAAGAGTGGTGGGGGAAGTAACTTGCCGACTGTGCCTTAACGCGAAAGCGTCGATCGAAGACGCGTCCAAGGCCGTCGTCGAGGACGTAATGCGAAGTTTGGCAACGCGGCTAGAAATGCATTACGATTCCCTCACGGAGGAGGAGCTCTCCGAAGACGTCAACAGCGTCCACGAACCGCCGAGGAGGGTTCTGATCCATTTGCCCGACGACAGTATGACAGTGTCGGACTATTTATTCCCCGGAGAAGGTCCAGAGGATGTCAGAGCGGCCTTAGAGGAACTGCTCGACGTCAAAGCGGATAATTTGGAAATTATGGATATCGAGGGGCAAGCGGGTAAGTTTTTGACGAGGGGAAAGTACTGCGGAGATTATTATATTGACTTTGCTTTAGTCTCTTTTTTGGGTTACAAGAAATCAAAAGATCTCATATTGGGAATTTGTTTTTAGCATGGTCAAGTGCAAGATTTTACACCGAAGCTTGTTTCTTACTTTTCACAAAATTGTTGCCATTTCTATTTCATTGCTCAAATTTTTGATTGGACATTCAGAAATCTCAGAGGGAAAGATATGCTACATGCAAAGTTGACAGGATAATATATAAAGTTGCCTCACTGTCAGCACAGAGGATTTTACATATTATTGTCTACATTGGACTTTAGAATTCGATATTTTAAAACTAATTCTTGACTCACTTTTTACTCAGTGTAATAAATAAGGAGCAGAAACAATGCAAGCGAAAAACCCCAACATATGCGAATTTAAACGCATACAATTTTCAGAATATATTGCACCGAAATGAACATTTTTATTATCTGCAAAATTTTGAACATTAACATTATTTTGAATAAATCCAAAACTATTTTTTTACAATTAAACCTTCAGAAATTCTACAATTTGAATAAATATAGGTGAAAAAAAAAGTAGAAAAAAGTTTTTTATTCTTAGATACACATATTGGAACGCATATGATTTTATAAATAAAACCTTACAGTGATAGAATATTTTTATTATGATATAATTAATTTAACAAAGAACTTTTTGATTTTACTGGCTTTTTAAATTTTTTTGTTGAAAATTAGGATTTTGTAATTCCCACGAATGACTGTTATGAAAATTAAAAATACCTCTACGGGTAAAGGTGTCCTCGTCAGTAAATAATATTTGCTTTTATGTTGTTCTGTAAACTATTTTTTTTTTCGCTCCGGACCTATAGAAACGAAAATGAACATCAGAGACCAAAAGAATAGCTTTTTACTGGCTTCTCGACGAAGTAATTGAAAGAATCCACTATTCTTGGGTTTTTGGTGTACGAATTTTGAGCAGTTGTGTCTGGGAATTGCGCATGAAAAAAATATCGAATTTTATTTCAGACATCAGCCAATATTATTCTGGGGTCGTCGACGTGAAAGCCGAAGAATTTTTACCAAAAATATCTGGCGATACCAACAGGCTTGTTTACCTTTTGGGAATCGTGATTGCCGCCGCTGTCTTAATCATTTCATTATTAATCCGCCTGTACTACTAGGATTCTGGTAGGAGACTTTTATTTTTCTTAATAAAACTGTCAGATTTTTAGTACGTGTTTTATTACGATAATTTAAAAATGTAATTAATAGGCATTATCCACAGTTTGATTATCCTTAACGAAATTATAGGTGGATAGCGCTTAAAGAAAACAATACTTATCCGTAAGAAATGGAAAGGTCGCTAATTAAACTTGCATTTGGAAAAGTCCATTTCGGGGTGCTGTTCCATGAACCTGAAAGAGTAAGAAAAATCATGCGAATATCAATGTCCCCAATTTATGAATTTTATATCTGAGGCAGAACATCATAAATTCCTACTATTTACAAATCTTCTGGACTCAGTGGTTGATGAATCGAACTGTCAACTTATTCAGAGCTTAATTGAAAATTATTTATATTATACTCTTTACTTGCTTATATAGGATTGGAGGGGGTGGAGCTAAAAAAGGGTCACCAGCATTGTCTTATAAGATTAATTCCCATATTGGTGAAGATCTGCATCGCGGTTAGTTTGCAATTCTACTTTCCTCCTACTCCTCTTTCATTAATGTGTGATCGACTTAGAAGACGTTTTCCTTGTGGGGCAGCTCCCTATATTAGATTTATCATTCTGTTGTCTGATATTCTTCTTACTTGACCTGCTCACTACAGATTCTTAGTCTTAGTTCGTTTATTATATTACTATCTGGTTCCCGATTAGTTTTCATTCGGTATTGTCTTGTTACTTCTTGTCTGGTTGGGCCGAATATTTTTCTCAAAATCTTCGTTTCACATTTCTCTTTATTCGATCTTTGTATGTTGTAATCAATCATCTATAGAGAACTTTTTTCTTATTCTTAGTTCTAAACCTATTTTTTCTCCTTGTTCTTCGAACCTTAGAAAAGTGTTTTCTGATGCTGCCATTTTTGAGTATAGCAGTTGATATGTCAACCTTGGCCGACCTAGTCGTGTATTCTAAATTATATGAAATAGTTGAGGTGAAAGGGAGTTACCCTGCTTAAGCGCTCACCTCACATCTTGTATCCCCGGGGACATTTTCATCAGAGATATATGTTTTTTCGGAAAGTCGATTGTGACAGTCTGGTCTATGGTGAACTTTTTTCGTCTCAACCCACACCTTTGCAGTCATTCTGCAATAGTTCTTTACTTATGGCTCGATTCTTTCCATTAAAATACTGTAGAGTATCTCATAGCATGTATTTAGCAGATTTATTTGGTGATAGATGAGGACTATCCCATCTTCCTTCCATACAACTGGTAGCAGCTCCATAGTTCTATCAGAGCCTGTGTTCTCCACAATGTTTTATATACTTTTATGTACCTGCTTATATACTGTTTATTGCAAGAGGGGCTAAAGCAGAGACCAATACTGATAAGTCGCGGTTAAGATCATTTGCTTGGTTAGAATTGATTACATGCAAAAATTTTAGTTTGATCGAATAAGATTTGATGTGTCATGTAGTTTCATGATTATGGTCAGCAACTGCTGATCAGTTTATTTGTCGTAGTCTTTAGGCTCTCCATCTCCTTTTAGCCTAGTTGATATTTTTCTATTTGGTGTTTCAAACGGAATCTACTTTTAAGATTATGATTCTAAAGAATTTTCGATCTCATTTTCTGTGGTGAAGTGTTTTCTGCAATGGAGCGCTGTGGAAATTATTTGAGAGAAGAGCAGATGTTAGATGTTTTAATTCTGGATCCAGTGATTCAGGTTGAGATAGTTTTGGTTAGTTTTTATTAACTATTTTCGTAGAGAAAATAACGATTTTTGCGCATGCTCCATTTCACCCACTAACCTGCACTTTGCGCTATTTTCCTTTTAAACAGTAATTTCTACACCCTTAATTTTTAATATTTAACGAAATCTTAAGATATTTTGAGAAAATACTGTTGTAAAAATGCTACATTGAAACTTATAGATAATCTGGTAGCGGCCATGTTGGTTGTTGAATGCCGCCATTTACTGTTAAAAAAGATATCTTAAATCTCGCGCATGCGCATATTATTGCATAAGCTGCTATATTAGGATGATGTATGGAGTTTCCATAGCTAAGAAAATTCCAAAGAGATTCTTGACAATGAAGCCAAATAACTCCATAATAACTCTCGACTTCAGTAAGTTCTATTTATTAACAACTGACGCAGGTGGAATCCAGAAGATTTGTAAATAATATTACAGTAGCCTGTGGAAGTTCGTTTTTGAAAAATTATAAATCCTTTTTTAATTACTTATTAAATTCTAACTTATAATAAGAAAATGATTTCTATTAAAATTTGCGAATTGTAGTTCCCAGAGCCTTTTAAACATCGGTACATTAAATGTCAGTCGGTGGGAATTGCTAAACTAACCTAAACTCTTTTATCTGTGGATTTTGTGATAATTTTCCTTTCAAAACGAATATCGATTTTAAACCCAGTAATATCAAACCCCCTTGAACTACATCTCCATCTATGAACTACTTTTTTAAAACACGGATGCAAAAATTGTCTTAATGTTTTACTTTTAAATCCTCGTAAGTCCCATTTTGTTCGATAACAGCCAACCTTTCAAGTATGTTCTATGGAAGTGATACATTTCTGCAAAAAAAGTTTGTATTTCTAGGTTCATAAACAATTCTAAAAGACATAAGTACAAGCCTTATTTCATTTCAGCTAAACGAATGCTGAGCCAAATATGAATTTGTTCTGTTTCTTAATACGTTAGAGTTACAAATCATGAACTGTAAAACTTAGTCATATTTCATAGGCCTATGATGATTGTTAACGGTCCCGAGAGTTTCAGGTAGACTTACCTGTGCTTTAGTTTTTAAAATCAGAATTATAGTTACTTTCCGGCAGGTGTTGGTAGTTCGAAAATGCGCTTTTTAAAATTGTGAAACTTATTTTTCTCAATGCGTTCAAGGCTTATTATCACCAAAACTCAACATTTCAAGTTGGAAAAATAGTTGTGTACGAACTTGAAAGTTACCAATATACCGAGAGATTTTTGAGCTTTTAAAAGTAAAACGTTACTTTATAGAAGTTTCAGGTTGTGTGTTTTAATTTTATTCGTGTGTCAATAGCGCATCGTGACGCCACAACCGCGTCTGTCGATTTTCGCGGACTCTACGTTGATTCTAACTTCGAATGCGCGCAAAATAGATGCAAGTAGCTTATTCTCACTTTTTGATGACGTCCTGTTTTTTCTGTTCGTCGCTGGTCGGCAGCCCGAGTTCCTTTTGCCTTTGGTCGTACATCATCTTCTCGACCATGCCCCTCGTTTCGCCGTCCAAGTCACTCAGTTTAGACGGTTCCGGGTTGATTTTGCGCGTGCTTATTTCCGGATCCGAGGCCACCAGTTTGCTCCACCAATTCATTTTGTTGACCTGTCCCGGATAAAAAAAATCAGAAAGTTTTTTTTATAAGGGAATCCAACAATCCTGCCATCATCATCAAGCACAACACCAAAATGTGTTGCAAGAAATAGTAAAAGTATAAAAAATATTCGCACAGGTCGTCCCTTAAAGTGAAATCGGACACAATTTAGGCTAACAGGCTTGGAATGTTTTTTGAGTATTTACTGAAATTCAACAAAAAAATTGTAACGGTTGATGCGCTTTTTTGACATATCTAAGCAATTTTTGCTTTTAATTTCCAAAGGAAAAGCGCTAATATTGTTAGACGCACAAAACTATCACCTAAATCAGATAAACAAATCAAGGCAAAAAATCATTATTGACAAATTCAAATATTTTATTAGTTAAGAATGCAATGAATTAAAACTTGCGCATGGGTTCAGTCAATTCTCTCGACGAACAAAATGGCTAAGTAATAAAACATTTTGACTAGTTGAAGGATGACAGAAAAGATTTATTAATTTTATTTTTCTATATATATATATATATATATATATATATATATATATATATATATATATATATATATATATATATATATATATATATATTATATTTTAAATTTTGTTTTGAATTAGTTTCAAAATTATTGTTATTGTTTAAGTTTTTTCATACCAATTCATATATAAACTTAATAGTTTTTCCAATAAAGGTAGGTCACTCATATTTGATATTAACGTTATTCGAAGACGACGTAAAAGAAATATGCAGATATATTTGGATCATTTTAATATAAAAATCTTGTTTTTCTCAAATTAAGTTATTATTTTTTCTGAAAGATCTTAGAAAATCTCCAACTTTTATTTAATATATCATATAATTATGTTTAATATTTATTTACCAACTTTTAAGATTTACCCTTCTTGCTCTCTAAGACTATTGCTATAATATTAGTTGGCCATGACAAAACTATTAGCCAACAGGGCTCTAGTCAGATTGAAAAATGAACAGTATAAGGAATTTTATTAGAGCTGTAGATAAAGTAACAGATAGTTATTAGCAATTTTTATGAAAGTAACGGCCAAATTTTACATTGACAGAAAACGTAAATAATATTAAACACCTATTACTACAAATTATCTTATTTTTAATGTTTAGTCTTTTTCGTATATTTTCTTGGACGTTCCTTAGTATAAAGTGTTATTCTTCTGTACGAGTTCCGAAAATTACGTTCCATACCTTCTGGTGTTGCAGGGGGATTCGCATAAACATGATCTTTAACACATCTCCACACAAAAAATCTATTGGCTCCACACAAAAAATCTATTGGTGTCACATGATCGAGGGGGCCATATTGCCTGTTGTGTTTTAAAGTGTTTGACTCCACACTACACATTAAGTGACCAATGGTTTTGGTTTTGCACTATCGTCGCCATCGTGTCGTTCTGAGAACTAAACGGAGTCGATATTTTCATTGGGATTTCCCGTTTTTTGGTAAATTCATAGATAACACTGTTCGATTATTATTTAAAATATTTTGAAACATTTTAAAACAATTGACGACTGTCAATTTTCCAGCTAATATTATAGAAATAGGCAGAAAGAAGGGTAAATATTGGAAAAGTTAAAACCAATCGCAAAGTATCAAAGTATATGACATACTTAATAAATATTCTAGGTTTTTTCAGAAAAAATAATAATATATATGGTGTGCTATCTAAGAAAATCGAGATTTTTCATCTAATTCCAATTCCGTTGCATATATCTTTTACGTAATCTTCGAATAACGCTAATATCAAATATGAATGACTTTATTTCAATTATTAATTAACTTTTAATTTTTTTGCAAGTGTGAAAACTAGTGTTTTCACAAAATATTAAAATATTAGAAAATCTATTAGGTTTAGGTCTGAATTATTAGTAATAAAAAAAGTGCAAGAATTTCAAAACCAATTCAAAACAAAAATTTAAAAATAGGGCGTTCCATTTAAAATAATGTATGTTTTATTCGTCAAACTTTTCTGAGCCGCCCTGTATACTTTAAAATAATTTTAAATTGTGCATCTTAATAATCTTTACAACTTTTGTATTTACCCTATCTTTGACTCATCCTGTACAACTTTAAAAAGTCAACAATTGTGATTGTAAGAATTTGTTATCAGCAACATTTCAAGGCTAATATTTTAATTTTAATTAGGGCTAGCTATATTTTTATGGCATTGTACGTGTGATCTTGTGGTGCAAACCTGTGGTATCATGATTAATGCAAATTTTATAACTATCTTGCATTAAAAAACGAAATCTAGCTTTCTTTATTCTTCTATTTTCAGTTATAGGCCTGGTGTATACATACATAGACCGATATATTTTTTCGGAGCACATACCAGATGCATATTGGGGCATAATTTAAATTTGGAATAATTTCTATTTTGTGTTAAAATGTGATGTTCCATATTTGCTTCTTGCCAAAATTTTAAACAGTTGACTTGAAGAAAACAAACATATTTCAGCAGCGTTCCCTTTAGCTTGGCATGTGGGTGCAGAAAAAATATCCCACATAAAAATAACCATTTTTATTGTAACATCTAACTGAAAATCTTCACCGTACTTTTGCCATAAAGTTATTGATGCTGTTATGCCCAATCAAATTAGAGTGCATCTGGATGTTCAGGTGTACCTCGCCCGTAATGCAAAGCAAAAGGAGACACAACATTAACACTTCCAAAGATTAAAAATTAGCAAATGTTAAAATACTCTTCTCTTTCATATAAAAACATTCCAAAACCAAAGTCCAAAATTTCCAGAATATCTAAATTGAAAAGACTAATCGTAAATTCAAGGCGTCGCTAAGAAAAAAGCGATTCTTCGCGGATCCGCCATTTTGTCACCAACCTTTTCCAAATTGAACAGCAACAACTTCCCGTCCTCGATGACCCACGTCGACTCTTCCATTTTGATCTCGTGCTGGAGATCGTCATCGATGATCGGGGGCTGGCCCTTGACGCCGCAAGTCAGGTGCCTTTTAGTTAATTTCACCACCACGTCCTTCTGTTTCGCCCTGAAGCTAATGTCCAGAGGCACCCTCAACTGCAAACGACGATTTTTTTTTTTGAATAAATTGAAATCAAGCGTACCGTGTGTTGGCAACATTATTGCATTTTTCGTGAACAATTTGAATTGTCCAAAAATATTGAGAAAAGTTTAGAGAGCTGTCAGGTCCCGATATCAAAGACAAGTTTCCATGTGTAAACTATTTACATATGTGATAAATTTAATAATAATAATAATAATAATAATAATAATATTTATTAATTAATTAATAGCAATTTATGAAATCGTCAGCAAACAACACCATCTTATATGTATACAAATCATTACATACAATTTAAATGGAAAATTCAACACCAAGACTTTATCATTGAAATGTAATCAAAAGGGTAATAACGCTAAAAAAATAATTTAAAGGTTCTATTTAAAGTCATATTGCCAAGTTTGTTGGTCAATTTATTTAATTTATCTTATCTTGTGCTTCCGTTTCCCAGTGCGGGACCCCAATTCTTGATAAGTCGCCGGCTTTTTCTGGATCGGCCTCCTAATCTCCTACCATCTGATCTCCCAAAAAGTCTTTATTAGGATGACGTGCAGATCTTATTCGATTAGCTTTTATGTGCCTGACTACATTTGCCCCTGGAAGACAGTATCGCTAATTATGCATTGGGTCGTTTTCTCCATGCTCTTGTTTTGTCTTTTTGGGATCTAAATATTATTCTAAGCACCTTTGGTTCAAATGCAATAAGTTTATTTATTTCGCGCTGCTTGAGGGTCCAGGTTTCGCTGCTCTAAGTAATTACCGGATGAATATTTCACTTGTACAATGTTAGTTTGATTCTTCTTTATAGCAGTTTAGATCTTAGGGAGTATAACGCTCTATTTACTGAAATTATTGTGATTGCAGCTCCTAGGTACTCAAATTCCTCGACTATTTCGAAGATGTCCTCATTAAGGGATATATTCTGCCTGGTTCGAGGTCTTGAATTCCTGGATAGTAATTGTAATTTGTTTTTTCTTCGTTTAATCGTACCCATCTAAGTCTCTTGTCCAATGTCCAATATATAAATCATCAGCAAAAGCCAATATTAGTTTTGAAATTTGATTTGCAAAACCTTGCTCCGCTGTTCACGTGTTTCCACACCAAAATATACAGGTGGTGGTGACAGATGGTCTCCTTGTCTGAACCCTAATTTTACTCTGAATCGCGTTGATGTTCTATTTTCTACCCTTATCAAACCAAATGTGCACATCTGATATTGATGTCTACATTATTATTGGATTATCTTCATATATCCCTTGATAATGCGGCTTCGAACGATAGGAGTAGCCAAATTCAGTCTCATTAAAAAAAATAATTATGCATAAAGTGTATATTTGCGTAGAAAGAAGAGAAAAAATTCAACTTACCCCTCCGTAAATAAAACTAAGATAAGTATGCAAGTATAGGATTTTTTTAAAAGAACTCTAGCAAGATTCTTCATGCGTTCGGTGGGTTTTGTTTTTTTTTCCTTTTTCTCCGTTTTATTATTCCTTTTTTTTTTTCACTTCCTTGAAAGTAACCGGGTTCAGTTCGAATGGAACAGATCAGTAGTTCATCCAGGTTGTAACTGAAAGATCTTTCAGATATACCAGACTGATGACGAGAAATAATCACTAGTTTAATTCAATTCAATTTTATTTATTAACTACTTGCTGCTAGGGTCAATTTTAACAGAACACCTACTATAAAAAAATAGATAAAATATACAAAATAAAATAAAACAAGATGTTAATAATAATAAAAAAGGCATAACCTAATTTGTGCAACATTTTCCTGAAAACCATTAAGGCAAACAAAAATTATTGATTAATTAACACATCAACCCTGCACACAAATCTACTCCGGTTCTGGGTGTAAGGTTGTCGGTCGGTTCTACAAAAAACTTCTTTAAACAAGATAGTTCTAACCTCGTTATAAAGAGGATATTTAAAGAGTACGCGGAATAGAGTTCCATTTTCGTGGAGATTACATATAGTGCAAAGCTCAATATGTAACTTGATCAGAAAGTTTAGACACGTTTTAAGTAAAGTGATTTTTAAATACCACACTTCAGTCGCAAGAGATAAGAATAAGATTTCGGCAACATTAGGAAATGTTTGAAGACGTTAGATCGGCCTTTATATAATATATATATAATAATATAGCAATGTTACTACGAAAACAAGTGACAATGGTACTATTAACAATCCGTACTAATGCTCTTCAGGAGATAATTTTAGATTTATAGACTATTCTATGTGCACTGTTGGGCTCTGGTTCTGCCTAAAAAACGAAGGGGAAGAGAAAGTAACTTCCTAGTATATCTGATCAATAAGTACTTCAATAGGATTATTATTTAGGGAGGAATTTGGATCACCCCGAAACGATTTTGGTTTTTAAGACATTAGCTACTAATTTGTGCGGGTATAATCTATAGAAATTGTCGATGCAAAGATGATATAAATAAATTGCCATTTGTAGGTTTGTCATGAACCTTTATTGGAATCAGTCAGCCCATACTAAATCAGTATGGGGGAGCAAACTGATGCAATTAACATTCTTCGTGGAGTTAGGTGCATCCTTTCGCCACTTATTTTTAATCTGTACTCAGAAGAAATCTTCAGTGGAGCCCTTGAGAATGCCAACATACAATACATACAATTCGATACGCAGACGATACTGTGATATTTATCGATAGCATACAACATATTAAAAGGGGTAATCAATATGGCTTAGAAATCAATCTTAGTTAAACCAAATTCATGGTAATTAGTAAAGAAATAGGTGCGATTAACAATACACATGTAGAAAGAGTTTCACAGTTCACATACTTGGGAAACATAATTAAAGAGGATTGGAATCACTTACAGGAAATTAGAATTAGAATAGAGAAAGCAAGAGCCGCCTTTAATCAAATGGCTAGAGTGTTTAAAAGTCACAGGCTTAACATAGACATCAAAATCAGATTTCTCAGATGCTATATTTCCTCCATACTTTTCTATTGAAAAAAGACTGTAAGTTTTCGAAATGTGGCTTTACAGAAGAATAGTAAGGGTTTCATGGGTGGACAGAGTGACCAAGAAAAAAGTACTGGAACGAATGCAAAAGCATTTAGAAATAATGAACACCAACAAGAGGAAGAATTTTAAGAGAAATAATTCTTTATTAACCACATATTGTACAATAATAATACAATTAATTGCAGCCTGTCAATATAAGGTAAAATACAAAACCAAAATATAAAAAGTATAAAGATGTAAAAAAAACGTATTTTATAAATAACACAGTAGTGAACAATAACAAATGTAAAGGACAACAACACGGAATATAAAAATCGTACAGAGAGATAGTATGCTATGATCTTCACATATTTCAGTAAGCCAAGGATTTTAATTTAGATTTTTTATTTTGAGAAACAATTTTCAATAAGCAACACTTTAATATTTGTTTTGAACACCTCAAAATCCATATATCAGTACCTATCTGACAGCATTTTGTACAAGTTAATGTTAAAAGAATTTTTGTCTGATGTAACAAGTCTGTGCTTTGGAACTCTTATAAGATTTTTTGCATGTGTTGGATAACTATGAGACACGCCTTCAAATATATTAGTAGGTTTGTGAATTTCTAAAAGATTATGGATGATATAGATACAGGGCAGTGTCATAATGTTATATTTTTAAAATATGGAGTACAGTGTTCATTGTGCTTAGCCCCAGCAAGAATTATTATAGCCCTTTTCTGTATCCTGAATATTTAAACAGCATTGACAAAGTTTCCCCATAATATTGTGCCATATGTTACGTGGGAATGAAATAAAGCATAATACACTGTCATTAGGGCATTTTGGTCTAGGCTCTCCCTAATATATAACAAATAAGCTGGAAGATAGTTTTCGGTTAAGAGATAAAATATGATCTATCCAGTCTGTTGATAAAAAACAACCCAATGCCCTCGCGCTGATATTGCGTTAGTCGTGCCAACGTCTATCGCCTCCCTTGATCACGCTGCCTGTCGCCTCCCTTGATCACGCTGCATAGACGTGACTGACCGTCCCGACGGCGCTTGTTTTCCAGACATAGGTTGCCCGAAGCAGTTAGTCGACCGCGACCGCCATTGACAATAGAATCGCTAAACGTCCCTTTAAGCCCATTTCACTATTAATATATTTCTTTATAAGTCGGTGTCCTCTTTGGACTAGCCTCTCAAACGATTTCTTTCGAGGAAATTTAATCTCTATTTTAACGCAAATTGTGTTTGTGATTAACTCGAATAAACTGATTTGTTAAACGTCTTAACTTTGTACCGTCGTCGCGTTGTGACGGATTATAGTTTGTGTTGTGTTAAACAGCTATCATTTAAAATAAACCAGCCCCGCCAGAATACAGTCCACACCCCCAACAAATCAACCCGTTAGATGGTGGTGAAGCAAGGATACGTTTCTCTTCCGCAGTCCAATTTCAAATAATTATTTTTAAAGCAATTGTGTGAAGGTGATTCTAATTCGGACCATATAAAGTAAAACTGACATCGTCCGCAAATAAGGCACAGTTGACAGACCCCAAAAAACGGCAGCAACATACACTATAAAAAATACAGGGCCGAGTACGGATCCTTGGGGGACCCCACTGGAGACCTTCACCAAAGAGGAATTACGTCTGTCATTGTCCACAAACTGTTCCCTGTCTAATAAATAAGATTCTGTTAGCTTAAGGGTTCCGCCGCGAAATCCATATCTAAACAGATTCTGCTGAAGAAGACCGTGCGAGATAAAGTTGAAGGCCTTGCTCAGGTCACACATTGTCAACCCCACCCGATTTCCAGTCTCAAGACCCACCACCACATCTCCCACAACCTTACTTATCGCTTGTATGGTAGAGCGCCCCTCCCTAAATCCACACTGCTCATTCCCAAAGATATCCTGCAGCTAAAAAAAAATTAACTATTTGTGGTTTCATAACCCTTTCATATATCTTACCGATATGTGGCGCTATGGATATGGGGCGATAGTCTCCGG